GTCGGCGAGATGGAGGAAGCCGAAGAAGCGGCGAAGGCAGCGGCCGAGGCCGAGGCGGCAAAGAAGGCGGGTGAGGGTGAGGCCGGCACTTCTGGTGTGGACAAGGAGGTCGATCTCACGCCTGAGGAGCGGCCCTCGGAGTCGGGTCCATAGTCTTTCTTTTTATTTGCCGGCCTGCGTGCCGTTGGATTGACCGGGTGTGGTCTGGATTTTATGTTTGGTTTTTTGAATGAATATTTGCAAACTTCAAGTATTATGATTGTGCCGCACTGGCTTTTAAATATATTTATGCCTTTTGGTTATTTCGTGATTGTTGATTTTTGGTTGTCTGGGTTCCGAGACCGGACTCGGCGCTATTACTCGCGGTGTCGAGCTCACGATTGAGCTCGGTACATTTCCCACTTGGGCCGAGCCTCGTAATCGGGCTCGCTGTTGTTAGTTACAGTGCCGAGCTCGTGTTTGATCTCGGCACTTGCTTGTCACTTCGGACCAGGTCATCGTACTGATCCTGGCCGATGCAAAGTTTTTACGAGGTGCCGATCAGGTCATTGTACTGATCCTGGCCGACGCCGATCCTTACGTCTTTATGAGGTGCCGACCAGGTCATCGTACTGATCCTGGCCGACACCGATCCTTACGTCTTTATGAGGTGCCGACCAGGTCATCGTACTGATCCTGGTCGACACCGATCCTTACGTCTTTATGAGGTGCCGAACAGGTCATCGTATTGATCCTAGCCGACACCGATCCTTACGTCTTTATGAGGTGCCGACCAGGTCATCGTACTGATCCTGGCCGACACCGATACTTACGCCGCTCAGACTCGATCTATGTCTAAGTCTCTTATCGTGAGTAATAAGAGGGGGATACATTCTTGCAACGTGTACTTCATTACAAAAAAGATTACAAGGAGTTACAACGGGTCGGTCTAGGCCTACTGGTAAAACTTCTTCAGAAACGCCAAGTTCCAAGGGTATTGGTGGGGGGTGCCGTCGAGATGCTCGAGGCGATAGGCCCCGTGAGGGAGAACTTCACGGATTTTGTATGGCCCTTCCCATTTTGGCTTGAGGGGTCCGGGATCGGGCCCCGT